CGTCGTCTCTCTCTCTCTCTCTCTCTCTCTCTCTCTCTCTCTCTCTCTCTCTCTCTCTCTCTCTCGCACTCACTCACTCTCCCCTCAATTACACCTTGCCGTGGCGCTCGTGGTACTCGCTCCTAAACTCGCCGGCCGGCAGCATCCAGACCAGCTGCTTCACCCCCTGCGCCGCCTCCTCCTGGAAGAGTTTCCGGGCCCCCTCGACCGTCTTCTCGCGTTCATTCTTCAGGACGACGTCGCCGCCGTAGAGGCTGTCGGCGAGGATCTGCTTCTCGTGCGCCGTGGCCAGCACGCACAGGACGGAGAGGATGAGGCCGGTGGAGTACACCGGCCACGCGCGCTCCTGCAGCCACCCCCACGCCTGCACGGCGGCCCCCACGGAGGCGCGGTACGCCTGCACCAGGCGGTACTTCTCCGCAAACTCACTAAACCTCTCAGACATGTCTGGCGGTTACGATTCTCTCCGTGTGTCTCCGTGTAGGTGCGGCTGTGGTTGAAACCTGCCGCCAGCGTGCCGCGCGGCGGATATAAGCAGAGAAACAAATAAAAAAAAAAGGGTTGGGGGGGAAACGAAAGAAAACGAAAAGGAAAAACAGGCGAAGGCTCACATCGATGCCCCACATGCAAGCGAAATACACGCAGCGAAAGAGAGAGAGAGAGAGAGAGAGAGTGGGTGCGAGTAAGCGCACGAGAGGGGAGAAGAAACAATGAGAAGAAACGTGAAGTCGGCGGGAACTGATGGCTACCGAGGCGCGCGAGGGAGGCGGCGAGGAACAGTGAGGGGGCGTGGCCGCACGTAGCCACTCCACAGCCGACAAAGGCGCCAACGACATAATAGCAATAACCGCACTCCGGCAAAGCAGCGAGGTTCACGCACTCACTTCCCCCCCGCTTCCACACACACACACACACACAGGCACAAATGTTTCCCCTTTTTCTTTCCTTCTTTTTAAATTCCCGCTCTCTGTCGCTAGCCGCCATTCGGCCTCACCACCACCCTTCTAAAGCCGCCGTTGAAATCCACCACAACGAAGCGTTCCTTCGCGTAGAACACGCCGAAGCCACGCATGCGACTCACAGAGGCCCGCAGGTGACGTGTCGAAATGCCTTTGATCTCCAGCACGGCGTAATGGGGCGCCGCTCCTCCTGCAGCTGCGTTGCCGGCCTCCGTCCCTTCCGCCTCTTCCTCCGCCTCCACCTCCGAGCCCGTGTCGAGCTCCCCGGCGGCCGCGGCGACCTCAACGGCGCCTGCTTTATCCACCACGGCAACCACCAGCGTGGCGCCCGCCGCGTCACCCGAGGACGCCGCGCGCTCCCAGAGAAGCACACAGCGGCCCTCATCGTCCACGACACCGCTCCAGAGGAAGGCGGCTTGTGCCTCGGTAAGCCGCAGGGGCGCAACATCCACCGCCACACTTTCCTGTTGCGTCACTAAGCAGAGATCCGCTTTGCCACTCGTTTGGAGTGCGTAGAAGGCCATACGCGGTTGACAAGGGCGCGACGGCGTGACTGCCACGGCGTGCAGCTGCACGCACTCCATCCCCGCCACTGCCGTCTCCGCCGCGAACACCTCGCACTGCCGCTGGAGGATCGGCTCACACGCAATTTCATCCGGCAGCGGCACCACGCAGGCAGCCGTCTCCCTGCCCCCCAGCAAACACTCCTTGACGATGTACAGCAACGCCTCCTCGCCCCGGGCAATGTCCTCGTCGACGAGGAACAATACCGGGGACTCCCCACGCGCGATGCGGTGAAGCGTGTGCAGCAGCGACGGATGTCGCGCCGCACGCAGCGGGGGGTGAGACGTGAAGAGCTTGCTGCCTGGTGGCGCGGCGCGGTGCAGTACCCAGTGCACGAGATCCCTCTCTCGATCCAGCTCGAGCCGCATTTGCCGCAGGAAGTCGCTGCACCGCTGCCGTAGCCCACCAATGACGTCGATCAACAGACACTGCCGCCGCCGATCGCCGGAGTGCGCCTGTGACAGCTGCAGGGCGAGGTCGTAACAGCGGTAGGCGACGTTGGAGACCTGCAGCACGAGATGCGTAAACTGCCGCGAAAGCTCCTCGGCGTCCTTCACAAGGGCGTCCAGGTCCAGCCTTTCAAAATACGCTGACACCTCCGCAAAGGACGGCCGCGCGACTTCTTCGAGGAGAGTGTCGCGAAGCAGAAGGGCGTTCTGTGGCAACAATAAATCATTGCGAACCGCCTGAATGAGGCACTCCCATCGCTTTCGCACAAACTGGTAGGAGACCTTCCCCATGCGACAGTACTCGACGATGGAGCAGAGGGCAACCGCCTCGCGATCCGTCACACGTGCGACGGTGTCGGAAAGATGAATGCGTACCACCCGCGAGCCGGGCCGCAGGGACGCCTGCCCTCCCGTCTCCTGCAGCACAAGATACGCCGAGTGTGAGTCCGTGCCCCCGCCGCCCCAACAGTTGCTGCTGCCATTTTCGTCGGCGGCCGGCGGCGGCGTGGCGGCCACGAAAAACGCCTCCACACGCATGCGACACGGATCCAACGCCCACTGAGGGTTCACCACCACAACCCCCACCTCCTGCAGCCCACCAGGCAGGAAGCTCAGGCCGCCATTCTGGTCCAGCACCAGCATCACAGGCACGTCGTCCTGTCGCTCCAACTCTTCGATAATCGGCGAGGAGACGGTGGTGCTCAGGGGCAGACACAACTCATTGTGGCTACGCATCGTTGGCCTGCGTGGGGCGACGGAGGTCCATGTGCAGGCCACGATCGCCCCATCCACAGAGATGGGCAGAATCGGCGGCTGGCGCAGCGGATCCCGCTCCTTGTCATCGTCGACGCCCTCTTCATCCTCGCCGTTTCTGTTGTTGCTGCTGCCGTTGACCTCGACTTCTGCGGAGGTGTCGGTGGCGCCAGCGAGCGGCGTCGCCTGCGCATTCTCGATGACCAGCGCGATTTCACGGCGTGGGACAAACCGCCGTATCAGCTCGCCACTCTCGACGTCCAGAAGGTACAAGTCGCCCGACTGCAGCCCGATGGCAAGCAGCCGCCCGGACGGCGACCAGCAGGCGGACACCGCCGTCGCCGTCTCCTTCACGGCGAGCGGGAGCGTCGTCACGACGGTGAGGGTGGTGGAGCGGTACACAACCACCAGCGAGCGGGTGACGACGGCGAAGAGGTCCATGTTGTGGCACGTCGTTGCCAGCAGGATCGGCTCGGCGACGGCCTTCGTGTGAAGCACCTTCAACATCCCGTCGCAGCTGCGTCACCCGCCGTGAGGCACGCGGAGGCAGACGCGAGGGTGTACCACGAAGGCCACCAAGGAATAAGAGCAAGAAAAAAAAAAGACAGAAATGGCACGAACGAGGTGGAGCGATGCAAGAGTTCCCTTCCCACAGGCAACACACAGAGAGAAAAAAAAAAGACATGTGGGTATGGAGGCGTACAAAGGATTCCGCATGGAGATGTTTACAGACACTGAGAAACGCGCAAGCCTCGTCACTTCCTCCAAAGTGTCCAGATGCCTGTACACTCTGGCAGCGCGGTGCGTTCCTCCGCCGCCATGCGACGTGCCATCGACTCGCCAAAGAAAAACCGCGTAAGCATCACCGCCTCCGCCACGTCGCGGAAGTTGTAATCCGTGCGCACCCACCGCCGCTCAAAGCCATACAGGGCCTCAAGGCGCTGCGGCAGGGTGTTGTTCCGCCGCGGCTCCGTGGTGTCCGTTCCAAGCGTCTCAATGATGACGAGCGCCGCCGCCCCGGAGGTGTCAAGCAGCCCAATGAGAGCCGTGAGGGTCGCATCGACGGCGGCGTGCCAGCGGTCCTCGCCCCACTGCGCACGCATCACGTAGGAGAGCGACCACGCACAGACAACAAGGTGGCAGGATGGGTGCGTGGAGAGAAACCCACGCTGCACATCCCCGAAGCTGACGGGACGCACACACAGCAGCACGGCAGCAGGTGACTGCGCAGTCACGCCGGTGCTCCCCACACACACCGCGGCGGCACTCGTGTCCAGGGCGCTATTATCATTATCATGGTTATCAACAGCAACGTGGTCAGTGGCACGGGGGCAGATGCAGACCCCGCAAGTCTCGCGTCGCGCCTCAGCGACGGAGCGGACAACATTTTTCAGGCATTCGCGCAGCATCGGCGTCTCGCTATCGTAGCAGTACAGCGCACCGACGGCGGGGTGCCGAGAAAGCATGCTGGCAATACGGCCTGTACCGCAACCAAAATCTGCCACCCGCACAACCCGCTTCGCATCTGCAGCTGCTGCGCTGTCCTCTCCAGCACCAGAGGAGCGGGGGGGCTGCTGTAAGCTCGACACGAGGCTGCCAAGGTACTCGTGCACCGCACGACAGTCATGACGACGCATAAAAAGATCGTACTGCCTTGGAAAACGTCTGTACATCTCCATCGTCCCCACCTTGAAGGGGGGCACGTCAACCGCCCTTTCCGCACCCAGTTCCTCCGCAAGGGGCTCAGCTGCACGAGTGCCTGGCATCCTTGCGAGGTTCCAAGTGTCCTGCAGCTCCCGCCGGAGCTTCGAGGACAACAGGGCCGTCGTCAACGGCGTCGCCGAGGGAGGTTCCGTGTCCGCCCCACCCACCGGTGGCTCCTCGCGCGTTCTCCTGCGGCATCTCCGCGGTTTCTCCCCTACTTCGCCCTCCTGCCGCTGGTGCCGCATGGTGTGGGCCTGCGCTGTCTTTCTTCCCCCTCTTCCTCTGCCGCCCCAACCCACGCTGCCAGCGGGAACCTGCGCTGCCCCAACCCCTCTTCCCCCACGTGTGTGTGTAAGTGTGTGGGTCGCCACAGGCGGAGGGAGGAACTCCCGACAGAGAAAATGCGACAAACAGGGAAGAGGATGTGAGACATGCGCCGCAGCCAAACGTGTCTGCCAAAGTGGGGCAAAAGTCCCCTCCCCCCGCAGCTCGCCAAACCAACAGCCAACAAAAAACGCCAATAAGCGGAGGTGGAAGTAGTGAGAAAGAAAGAAAGAAAGAAAAAGAAAACGGAGGGGGACAAAATCACCGCAGTCGATGAATGAGCGTGCGCTGCTTCCGCCACTCAAGCTCCTCGCGTTTCACCATGGCGTACACGGCACGCTCCACAAGTTTCGTGTCAAACCCCATGCGCGCCATCTCCGCCAAAAGCCGATTTTGCTCCACCGTCGCCCCCAACGCCACGCGACGACGCAGCGACTCCTCAATGCGCAGCACCAACTCACTTTGTGCGGCCGTCATCGTTTGATCCGTTACGCCGCTTTTAATCGCGTCAACGGTGGCCACCTTGAAGAGCCGGATCGCCTCCTCCGCGTCCGCGCGGTTGGCAAGCACGTCCAGCCGCATGCGTGCCATGGACTCCGTGATGCGCACTAAGCTTTCCAACTGACGGGCGGTGATTTGAATGATGGGCGTCTGCGGTTTTGCTCCGGAAGAGGTGGTGGAAAGCGCCTCAAGGGTATGCTGGTGTGCCTCTCGACGAACATGCACGTAGAAGTCAAGCAAGACGGCCATGGCGTCTTCCGAGATGCGTGGGTGGCGTGTGGCACGGGCGTAGGAGACATACTTGGTGAAAAATGACCTCTCCACCACGGGCGACGACGACGCGTTTGCGTGCCGTCCACTCCCGCCCTTGTGAAGGTTCACGACGTGCTGGGCGAGGCGGCTGTCGATCTCCGGGTTGCGGGGGTCGAGCACCTTAAAGATGAGGTCAAAGCGGGAGAGGATGGAGCTCTGAAAGTCCATCTGGTCCTCGTTGGACCGCAGCGGGTCGTAGCTGCCGAGCGTCGGGTTGGCCGCGGCCAGCACGCTGGTGCGGCTGTTCAGCATCGTGGTCAGGTTTGCCTTGGCGATCGAGATGGTCTGCTGCTCCATCGCCTCGTGGATCGCCACCTGGTCCTGCTCCCGCATCTTGTCAAACTCGTCGATGCACACCACCCCGCCGTCGGCGAGCACCATCGACCCCGCCTCCAGCACAAAGTCACCATTTCCGTTGGAGATGACAGACGCCGTCAGCCCCGCGGCGCTGCTGCCCTTGCCGGACGTGTAGATGCCAATGGGGGCAACCTTCTCAGTGAACTTCAGCAGCTGCGACTTGGCGGTGGAGGGGTCGCCGATAAACAGCACGTTCATGTCCCCACGCAGATAGTTGCTTCCCTGCTTCTTCCGTGTCCCACCAAAGAGCAGACACACAATGGACTTCTTTTGGTCCTCGAGGCCAAAGATGGCAGGGTCAATGCTCTGCGCCAGCTTCTCGTAGACATGCCCCTGATCCGCAAAGCGCTTGAAGGCGGCCTCATCTTCCGCTTGCCACGTCGTCACTGACTGCGACCGCACCCGCGAGGAAAAGTTTTGATTGACGCTTTGCACGTCTATCCCGCCCTCCCTGGATGTGATGTACATGAGACCCACCGAACGAAGGTACTGCGCACGCAGCCCGGCAACACCCCGCGTGCCCTTTCCCTTTCTCCCGCCACCCTCAAGGCTGCCACGCTTTTCCTGCACCGAGACGATGCCGGCCACCTGCACCCGGGAACCGGGGCTCACGCGGTCCACGAGGTAGCGGTCCACCACAACAGTGACATGGCGGGGCAATTCCCCTGTTGGGACGTCCTCCGGTAGCTCCTGCAGCTTGACAATCTGCTGGTCCTCGTACTCGCACTCCATCGGCAGCAGTGTGTAGGGATTCGGTCGACACTTGCGTTGCCCACCGCCCCCGCCACCGGCAGCAGCGCCGAACCCGGGGGCACCGTTGGCACGACCCCCATTTTCTAAGCAATGCGGTGGAAGCTCGATGCTTCGCCCGCCGTTAATGTATGTTTTGCTGAAGCAGCTGGTGCACTGAATTGCCGCCCGCACGCAACGGGCGTGACAGGCGCTGGCCTTCACCACAATCCCGCTCACGCATACTAGCCGTGCCACCGATGCCTGGGCCAGTTGGCGGAGCGGTGTGGGTGGCACGGCCCAGCATAGTTGCAGCTGTATCGTGCTCTGGCGGGCAAAGGGCTGAAACAGCTTCCGCTCATGCGCCAGCTCCCACAGCGCATGCTCGCAGAGTGGCAGTGTGCGTGTGGGAGAGGCGTGGAGGGCGCTGAACACGGTACCGCTAAACTGCTGGATGTGCATCATCTCCACCTCCATGAAGTACAAGCCACCCGCAAGGTTTGACCGCAGCATCGCCATGTACAAATGATCGTTGTGGATGCGAAACCGCTCAATGAACTCCTTGAAGATCAACTTCAGGTCCACCGCCTCGTCCGACGGACGCTCCCCCTCGTCGTCGCCGGCCGCCAAGCCGCCGCGGAAGTTCGTCACATGCACTAAGCCCGCATCCGCCTCCATCTGCCCCCTTTTGCTGTCCTTCTCTATGCACCGTCTCTCTATGTATGCAGGTTCCTTTTCTTCTTCGTCTTCTTTTTTTACCAACGCAGGGCCGTATGTGTGCCCGTATTCCCTCTAGCGTCGAACGCTTCTCCCGCCGCCCACCCCTCGTCCGGGGAGCCTTCCTGCACACCCGCGCGGCACACCGTGTCACTCCGGCCGCGGCGGGTCGGCAGAGGAAGCAGCGCGCGGGGAAAGCAAACAAACAAACGAACAAACAAATAAGTACTCGTCAGCGGCAACGAATAGCGTGCAGAACTCGACACAACCACGCAACCACATTTCACCACACCGCAGATCCAGGTTGGAGAGGGAGCGAACGAAGACATGCGACCACAGGCAACGCATTCGCCCAGACGCACAGGCAGAGGGACGCACACACGGGCGAGAAACACCAGAAACACGGTCTCCTACGGCTCCCTTGCAATTTATGTTCCTCTCCTTCTTTTCACTTTTTATTGTGTGCAGTCCGACGTGGCCGTTGGAAAAAAAACAAAAACAAAAACAAAACAAAAACGGCGTTGCACGCTACACACGCTGGCTGCTCGCGGCGAGGGCGGTGAGGGCCTCTTTGCTGTAGGCGTCAAAGGGGTTTGAGCCACTAAGCACCAGCACCCCGCTGTCCATCACACCATTGATGCGCTTCTCCACCAGCAGCGGCAGCAGCCAGACATGACAGCCCTCGTAAAGTGTAAACGGCAGCTGGTAGTAGTCAATCATGTCCTGCACCGGCAGGCGACTGGAGAAGCTGCCGATGTAGTATTTCACGACCATCAAGAGGGCGATGTTCTTGCTGACCACCTGAAGCACGTTGTGAATGCCGCACTGGACGTAAAACTCCGAGTTGTTCCGCATCGCGGTGTCAAACAAGAGCCAGTTTGCGCTTCGCACGGCCACAATCAGGTCCTCCAGCTCGGTCAAGTTGTACGCAGCCTGCTCCTCCGGCGAGGGCACGCGTCCCAAGGCCAACCCGCAGGCGGCAAGCTTTACGAACAGCAGTCGCTTGTTCTCGTGGGCGCCCTCAGGCGCAATGACGAAGGCCCGGGCCAAGAGCTCCATCGCCTCCTCCACCACGGCGTCCGTCAAAGGCTCCTGCAGGAGGTTGTGCGCGTGGTGGTGGTACAGCGTGCAGCGAAGCTCAATCATACCTCCGCAGTGCTGGTGAAAGGACCGAACAAACTCATCCCTGCCGGATGGGGCGTAACTGTGTAACATCAGCTCCCCCAGCACACACGCGTAGGCGGCCGTGCGCTGCCGCTCCAGCGCAGACTGTGGCGCCTGTTGAAGCGTGGGGACACGCACGTGGCGATACAGTTTTAGCAGTATTGTCTTCATGTTGGACTGCACAGCAAACACCCCCTCGTCATTGGCCAGCTCAAAGGTATTGCGGACTCGTCGCAACACAAATGGCAGGACACCGTACGGCACGTGGTTCTCGGCTTGATTAGAGAACAGCTGTAAAAATATGTCGCACATCAGATTGGCATACGTGCAGCCATTCGTGAGTGCGGCCCACTTGTTGTCAAGAATGAGGCGCCGCTGGTCCCCAGCAGCAGCACTATTAGCATTATCGTTGTTATTCCTCTCAGCCGCGGCGGCCACCTGCTGCTGCTCTTCTTCCGCCTCCCCGGCGAGAATGGTCGTGGAGAGAAAGTTTAGGTGGCAGCCGAGGGCGAAGAGCGCCACCCAGTGTCCGCCCCTCATCGGCGACGGCTGCTGAGCGTCCTTCAGCGTCTGCCACACAGTCAGCATCTGCTGCAGCAGCGTCGGGAACGCGCCGCCGCCGTAGCTGCCCACCACCCCAAAAAATGCATCCTCAAGAAAATCCGCGGCCTCCTCGCGTCGTACATTATTTTCTTCTAAAATCTTGCGCATAAAGGCCGCAAATACTCGCGTGGAGAGAAACTGCGCCGTCGTGTTGACACCGACACTTGTCTGTGGCTGCTTCTGCGCGGGCACCCTCGGCTGCCATCTGTCCTCCGCGGCAGGCAATGTCGCCGGCGCCGTGAACACCGGAGGCGAATGTTGCTGCTGAAGTGGTGGCATTGACATTGGCGGCGGCGGCGGCTGCTGCTGCTGCTTCCACGTGGTTTTTGGCGACCGCGAAGCAAAAGTAGGCGATGCGGCATGCACACGCCCTGCGCCTCTTCCGCCGAAGTTTTCCCCTCCGCCCCTCCCCCGGGGGGCACCAGGCGCCATGGGATCAAACGTCGGCGCGCCGGACTCCCGCCTGGGGAAGACGGGAGGAGGCATAGGGAACTGTTGCGCCGTCTGCGGCTGCGGCGACGAGGCCGTGGGCGGTAATGCGGCTCCACCGACACTCGCTGGCACGCCAAGGGCGGAGGAACTCCGCGCCGTCGCGAAGCCGCCGCCCTTTCGCGTGGGCTGCTCAAAGGACGACGCGCCAAAGGCGGACCTGGGCGCCGGCGCGGTGTTGGGACCCGCCCCAAAGGCAGAGGCGGTGCCGAAGACTGGCGCGCTCAACCCCGCCGCTGCCGACGGCGACGACGACTGTTGCCGCTGCTGCCGCGGAGCCGCCGCCGCCGCGGTGGAAAAGACGCTGCTGAAGGGGCTGGGCCTCGCGGCCGCCGAGGACGGCGCCGCCCCCTGTGGAGTTTGTGGCGGGGCGCCAAACGCCGACATCGCCACCCTCCGCTACGCTGAAAAAAGACAACAACAAAAAAAAGAAAGTGATAGTTTAGACGACGTGGTGCAGGCGACTGGTCCCCTGCACGAGCAAAACGACAACACGCAAAGTCTGAAGAGGCGCAACGGGAACCGTCGCATCTTTTTTTTCCCCTTTCCCTTTTTTTTGTTTTGCTTCCCGCGGGCGGGAGGAAGGCTCCGCCCCCCCCCCCCAAATCCCATCCTCCCGGAGCTACTCTCCAGA